AGTGCCTTGTGAAAGTATTAATTTTTTCATGTTTATGTTGCAGCCACATGTTAAACTGCTTTAAATTACTTTTTACCCCCACATCAATCTACACTCCATACAACATAATGACAAAGCAAATAACAGGTTTTTAACATCTTTGCAAATTTATTAAAGATAAAAAGCTTAAATGATTCCATTGCATAAGTATCTGGGAAAGTTGAAATTTAGCTCAGGAGCATTCATTTTGCTTGTAAATGTTCCCACACTTTGAGTGAAGCTAACCTGTGGCAAATTCAATTGAATCAGTATGATTTGGAAAGGCACACGTCTTAATAAAAGGTATAACAGCTGAAAAGGCATGTTAGAGCAAAGACCAATTTCAGAAAATAATGATGCTGCATTGAAGGTTCACAAAAGCATGTAGCCTCCATTATCCATAATAGAAAACATTTGGAACAACCAGGACTCTTCCTAGAGCTGGCCTCCTGGCCAAACTGGGCAATTGATGAGAAGGGCTTTGGTTAGAGTGGTGACCAAGAACCTGATGGTCACTCCAGTTGAGCTCCATGATCATATGTGCAGATAGGAGAAACCAACAAAAGGATAAACATCGCTGCAAAACTCCACCAATCTGTGCTTTATGCTGGTGTGGCCAGACTCAATCCCCTCCTCGGTGAAGACACATGAAAACACACTTGGGATTTGCAAAAAAGCACCTAAAGGACCCTCAGACTGTGAGAAACAAGATTCTCTGGTCTGATGAACCTCAATTCTAAGCATCATGTTTGAAGGAAACCAGCTCCACTCATCACCTGCAGAGTACCATCCCAAAAGTAAAGTGTGCTGGTAGAGGCCTCATGCTGTGGGGCTGTTTTTCAGCGGCAGGGACTGGGGGACTCATCAGAGTAGAAGAAAAACTCAATGCACCAAAATATTGAGATAGCCTTAATGAAAGTCCAGAGCATTCAGAAGCTCAGACTGGGCAGAAGGTTCACCTTCCAACAGGACAATGACCCTAAGCACACAGCAAGAGTGGCTTATAGACAACTCTGTGAATGTCCTTGAGTGGCCCAGCCAGAGCCTGGGATTGAACCCAAGTACTGAGCTATGCAATGTACTTACTTCAGGTTTTTTATTTTTTATTTTTATACATTTTAAAAGTTGTTACAGTTCCGATTTTGCTTTGTCATTATGGTGTATGCAGTGTAGATTGATGTGAAAAAAGTAATTTAAAGCAGTTTAACATAAGGCTGCTTCATAACAAAACATGAAAAAAATGAATACTTTCGCAAGGCACTGTATATATATATATATACGTATTTATATATATATATATATATATTACTGTATTGGCACTTACCTGTTTGCTGCTACTACTTTCTTCTTCGCCTCAATCTCTTTTTTTCCCACTTCCTCTGTCTGTTCTCTCTTCTCGTCTGCCTCCATCTCTTCTGTGTCCATCAGTCCCAGCTCTTTTAAGTCTTTCTGTCCCTCCATCTCTCCTCTCTCCACTCTCTCACTCTCTCCTCTGTCTTCCTGGGCCTCTATCTCCATCTCCTGCATGTCCCTCCTCTCAGTCTGTCCTTTTTCACGCAGCTCCCCTGGCCTTCTCTGGTCTTTGTCATCCATTTCTCTTTCTGCCACATCTTCTCCTGTCCTCTCTTGCTGCCCCAACTCCACTCTTTCAGGATCACATGCTTTGATAAAAAAATTAAACAAAAGACATTAAAGATGCAGTATATGGTTCAAAATGTGAGTAAACAAAGAAATATAAAAAGTTAAGATAAAAGATACAAGTAGAACAGAATTACCCACCACCAGCAATCTACATTGTGTGAAAAATGATCTGTACTGACATTTAAATCTGATCCATCTGGATCAGTACACAATACAGGATCAATCTTAAGGAGCATATTGCAGGTTAGAGACCCAGTGAGGCAATGCATAGAAAAATAATGAAGGAACTACATTTTCTTTAATATATACTTATAAATACGCTACTGAGGCTTCTGGAGTTGGTTTTGTGAGAAAATTTTACTTCTGCATCTGAAAAACTCAAACCGTAAGTGACATAAAGGGAGGGAGAGCAGTCAATTTAAACAATAGGAAAACAGTGGATCACAATGACAGGTGCATGACACCACTGTTTTTTCTTTCATTGTGAAGTGAAAGGAATGAACAGCAATTCCCTCTCTTTGTGCAGACACAAAGAACTCTTATCAAAGTTCATTTGTGGTCAAGTTTGTGGTCATCAGGATCAATGGCACGGATAAACTTTAATTATTATTAGAATAATCCTGGTGTGTCCTTGCTCTCTTGGCCACATAGCAGGCTCATAACTGTATGGATGGTCCGTCATACGAGTATGAATAAACATTTACAATTTCCTCAGCGTCTGAACTGTCATTGTGATCCACTGTTTTCCCATTGTTTAAATTGACCACTTTCCCTCTCGTTACGTCACTTCCAGTTTGGCAGTTTTCAGATGTGGAAGTAACATTTTCTCACAAAAAAAATGACTCCAGAAGCCTCAGTAACATGTTTATAAGTATATTTTAAAGAAAATCTAGTTCCTATATTATTTTTCTATAAATTGACTCACTGGGTCTCTAACCAGCATTATGCTCTTTACTAGAGATTCAAGAATGTACTGATGTTGTGATGTGACCTACCTTCTAATAAACCTTCAAATAGCCACACTATCTTCTCCAGGACCGCATCCACTACCACTGGCAGCTCAAATGGGCACTGGAACTGGGCCACCCACTTTTTATTTTGCAGTCTGTACTTTCCCCATAGCAGGAGGGGAAAGTACCCAAGGGCCATCATTTTCTCCACCTTAACATGGAAAAGCATATAAGCAAACACAGAAATTTCCAAGGCAGGGTTACAAAGGCAAGAAAAACATTATTATTATGATAGACATACAAGCTGGTGGTCAGTCCACTATCCTTAGCACGTGGCACGACTGGTCTTCAACGAGCCCAAAAGAGCCCATGTTACACCTCTCTTTATCTCCTTGCACTGGCTACCGGTTGCGGCTCGCATCAAGATCAAGACATTGATGCTTGCATATAGAACAGCCACAGGCTCAGCACCCGCCTACTTCCACTCACTACTACGAATCTACATCCCCTCCAGAAGTCTGAGATCCGCAATTGAGCGACGCCTCATGGTACCATCACAGAGAGGCTTAAAATCACTTTCCAGCACATTCTCATTCACCATTCCTGGCTGGTGGAATGATCTTCCCACCCCTATCCAGAATGCTGAATCCCTGACAATTTTCAAGCGACAGCTAAAAACACAAAACATGAAAAAAATGAATACTTTCGCAAGGCACTGTATATATATATATATACGTATTTATATATATATATATATATATTACTGTATTGGCACTTACCTGTTTGCTGCTACTACTTTCTTCTTCGCCTCAATCTCTTTTTTTCCCACTTCCTCTGTCTGTTCTCTCTTCTCGTCTGCCTCCATCTCTTCTGTGTCCATCAGTCCCAGCTCTTTTAAGTCTTTCTGTCCCTCCATCTCTCCTCTCTCCACTCTCTCACTCTCTCCTCTGTCTTCCTGGGCCTCTATCTCCATCTCCTGCATGTCCCTCCTCTCAGTCTGTCCTTTTTCACGCAGCTCCCCTGGCCTTCTCTGGTCTTTGTCATCCATTTCTCTTTCTGCCACATCTTCTCCTGTCCTCTCTTGCTGCCCCAACTCCACTCTATCAGGATCACATGCTTTGATAAAAAAATTAAACAAAAGACATTAAAGATGCAGTATATGGTTCAAAATGTGAGTAAACAAAGAAATATAAAAAGTTAAGATAAAAGATACAAGTAGAACAGAATTACCCACCACCAGCAATCTACATTGTGTGAAAAATGATCTGTACTGACATTTAAATCTGATCCATCTGGATCAGTACACAATACAGGATCAATCTTAAGGAGCATATTGCAGGTTAGAGACCCAGTGAGGCAATGCATAGAAAAATAATGAAGGAACTACATTTTCTTTAATATATACTTATAAATACGCTACTGAGGCTTCTGGAGTTGGTTTTGTGAGAAAATTTTACTTCTGCATCTGAAAAACTCAAACCGTAAGTGACATAAAGGGAGGGAGAGCAGTCAATTTAAACAATAGGAAAACAGTGGATCACAATGACAGGTGCATGACACCACTGTTTTTTCTTTCATTGTGAAGTGAAAGGAATGAACAGCAATTCCCTCTCTTTGTGCAGACACAAAGAACTCTTATCAAAGTTCATTTGTGGTCAAGTTTGTGGTCATCAGGATCAATGGCACGGATAAACTTTAATTATTATTAGAATAATCCTGGTGTGTCCTTGCTCTCTTGGCCACATAGCAGGCTCATAACTGTATGGATGGTCCGTCATACGAGTATGAATAAACATTTACAATTTCCTCAGCGTCTGAACTGTCATTGTGATCCACTGTTTTCCCATTGTTTAAATTGACCACTTTCCCTCTCGTTACGTCACTTCCAGTTTGGCAGTTTTCAGATGTGGAAGTAACATTTTCTCACAAAAAAAATGACTCCAGAAAACATGTTTACATGTTTATAAGTATATTTTAAAGAAAATCTAGTTCCTATATTATTTTTCTATAAATTGACTCACTGGGCAGCATTATGGCATTATGCTCTTTACTAGAGATTCAAGAATGTACTGATGTTGTGATGTGACCTACCTTCTAATAAACCTTCAAATAGCCACACTATCTTCTCCAGGACCGCATCCACTACCACTGGCAGCTCAAATGGGCACTGGAACTGGGCCACCCACTTTTTATTTTGCAGTCTGTACTTTCCCCATAGCAGGAGGGGAAAGTACCCAAGGGCCATCATTTTCTCCACCTTAACATGGAAAAGCATATAAGCAAACACAGAAATTTCCAAGGCAGGGTTACAAAGGCAAGAAAAACATTATTATTATGATAGACATACAAGCTGGTGGTCAGTCCACTATCCTTAGCACGTGGCACGACTGGTCTTCAACGAGCCCAAAAGAGCCCATGTTACACCTCTCTTTATCTCCTTGCACTGGCTACCGGTTGCGGCTCGCATCAAGATCAAGACATTGATGCTTGCATATAGAACAGCCACAGGCTCAGCACCCGCCTACTTCCACTCACTACTACGAATCTACATCCCCTCCAGAAGTCTGAGATCCGCAATTGAGCGACGCCTCATGGTACCATCACAGAGAGGCTTAAAATCACTTTCCAGCACATTCTCATTCACCGTTCCTGGCTGGTGGAATGATCTTCCCACCCCTATCCAGAATGCTGAATCCCTGACAATTTTCAAGCGACAGCTAAAAACTCATCTTTTTCTACGCTACTTGACTTCATCCTAAATTAAAGAAAGAAAAAAAATTCTTTGTCTTTCACTTTATCATTTATTCCTTCACTTTCTAGCTTGTACTTATTTGAACAATGCCTGAAACTTGGTATTACGAGCACTTCCTGTGTCTGTTTGGCTCTTTAAGAAGAATCGCTTCTATGTATTCCCAAACTGTAAGTCGTTTTTGATAAAAGCGTCTGCAAAATGACAATGTAAATGTTTTTATAAGGGTGCACCACTAGAGCAACTCCACGTATTCTGGGGTAACTGAGGCATATGCGAATAAGAAATCAATTAAGAAATCTAACTTTCTCTCTGAAAGATTCTGTAAAGCCCCCTGCATTAGTAGCAGCCAGTGATTTAGACCTACTCTACTGCATGACCAGTGAACCAAAAGAAAAACCTCTTAAGTGTGAATTTGCCTTCGATAATGGGCCTGAATGGATTCAAATTGTAGGCAGGGCTAAATTCGGTGTATGTTTTTGCTATTTATAGATAGACTAGCTCATTATTATTTGAAATATTGCAAATGCAGTTGGGTTGATGACATATAACTACATGTAGCGTCTGGACCACTCAAACACACAATATATATTTTGTTAGCTAGATTCAACAAATACTCTGTAACACCCCAGGAAGCCGAACAGGCCCCTGGTTCCATAGCAACACTGACACCAGATACTTTTACGACCTTATAGAATGTCAGCAGGGAAAAGCACTGTCTTTTCATAAGGAAAATCCCCAAGGCACAGTAGGAATGGACTTTTCTACTAATTAATTCATAGGAAAACCTTTCTTTGAATGAACAGTGTATCCTTCAGGTCATTGTGTATATTATTGTCATCGTGTATGTTGTCTTTGAGATTTTATTCTGTTTATGCAGGCTGAACTAAGAATCTGATGTTTCTTTCAGGCGGTAGATCTGCTGAATATGCAAATGGTTCCATAAATTTCATTCCTTATGTCTCTTCTCTGTACTGAGTTAAGCTTTAACCCTTCCCTATACCAACTGTATGCGTGTGTGTGTATGCGTATGTTAGACCAGTTTATGTGTTTATGTAGTATGTTAGACTAGTTTAAGTGTTTATGTAGTTAATAAAACCTTGTATCAACCTGTATCACACTTGACGTGGTTCATTGTTTGCTCATAACTGAGTCACTTAATCATGCAGATTTATGCTACAAGCTTTTGTAGAATTGTACAGTAAGGAAGTTATTTCCCTTAACCAAGAAATTATAGTTCTTAGAATTGACAAGACAGTTGACCCTGAGAGGTCAGCTAAATATCTACAGCGGATCTAAATATTCATAATTAATTATAACTAGTTATGATTAATTATTCATATTTCCTCATGAGCTGATTCGTTACATACATGTTGTTGCTTCCCTGCACAATGTAAATAAAATTCTATATTTATATAATGTTGACAGGAACCTGCAATGCCTGACCAAAAGAGAAAGACAAAATGTTCATTACCAGCAGGGCACTGTTGTCAAAGATTTTTGCCCGATTGTGGGACTTTTTGACATTTTGTGCCCATTCCTTGGCTCTGGTCCGGAATGCTTTTATACGGGCCGCCTGCCTGGATTTCATGTCCAGCAGCTTCCCACACTGAGTAAGGGAGAGAGACAGAGAGAGCAAGAGGGAGATGGTACTACAAAAAAAGGTTCTAAACTGTAGTCCAGTTGATCAAGTATTGCAGATATTCTAGCCCTCTATAAAGGGCCTAAATAATAACTTGGATACCAATCGAATGCAATTAATTGAACAGACAGACTACATATGCAGCTGAATCAATGCACTGGCAAGTTTTAATAATATTAAAGGCATGATGCTAGAAACCAATTTAGTTATGTATCCATATTTTAAAGGTAAATACGAATGTCCATTATCTGGCCACAGACATTATACCTTAAGTTGTCATTATTGCATGCGCTAGTGGAGATGTTGCCATTTTCTTGAATTGTGAAATCAAAATATGGATAATCTCAATTAATAGAGTTACCACAGTTGACAACCACTGCAATAGAACAATGTACTGTCTGTAATAAACAGATTCAATGTCACCTGTGTAGCCTTGTAAGAGGATGTTATTTAAAGGAACCAACAGTCAAACATTCAATATCAACAGGTACCTTTTCATCAGGCGGGAAATTTAACATTTTGAAAAATACCTACTGTGATGCAAATTTGTAGTGTTACAAAACAAAACTCTCCGCTGCAACCTCCAGTTTTATTGTCACTGTATTGCTTGGGCAACAAATACTGAGATTTTATGCCAACACATTTTATTTGAATTTGGACTTAATGACTCTGGCTTTAATGCATGAAAATGGGGCTTAGCAGTTAGACAGTACAATAGCCTATTGTACATTATTTACCTTGGTGCATCTTCGATTGGCACAATTGATCTTTTCCAGGCAATGGGTGCACTGCCGAAGAGTTGATCCACCTGGCATTTTTACTACACACACACACAAAAAATATATAATTATCGTCATGCTATGCAGCAAAATATTTAATTCTGCGGGAGGACCTGATGTGAGCATATCCTAAGCCTTTCCAATGGCACTATAAAGATAAAAAAGGACATAAAATGCATCCATCTGCAAGCAACTAGTACCTGCCTGAATTACATCAACGTGCTATTCTAGCAGATCTCTTAGTCTTAATTGTTCAGATTTTTAGAAGGCACATTAACTTCTTTCTATTAATGAATTTTCCAAATGTGAAGGTTTTTCCTTATCCTTAACTTTTTACATAAAAAAACAGTGGCACTCCAAATACACATCTGATGTATCCATTATTACATCAATTTACAGCAGTTACAGTGTTAATACATTCAAAACATATTTTTTGCTTAACCTGGCTGCAAACTGGTTAACTTGCTTATTATAAAATGGATGATGAATATTTAATCTGCAATAGAAACGCTCACTCTTGTTCGTGCGTAGCACTGACTGGCGTCCAGCTCCCAGCAGTGAATTGACTCCAGGTACGCTGGCTGGTACTTCTCTCTCTAAAAGAGGACTCACTCGCTCACACACCTGCAACAGGTGATCTGGAGAAATGGAAATGTGTGTCTGAACAAAAGAATGCCCCTAACGAAGGAATGTAACTGTCTAATTGTAATGTATGGTGTTACACTTCATAAAACAGGAAAAAGTTAGAATTAGCAGGAAATCTGACTCTATGTTGCGATTGAACAGGACGTCATGTACATGAATACCTATTTAATTACAAATGATCTAAATAACATGGTGAAATGTTGCTTGCAGAAAGACAGCAAAACCACCATAAGCTGACTTGCTTAGCCCGGGGCGAAATCATGAAGTCATGATTTTAGTACTGAAGTTTCAGGGTTGCCAAGATACATAAAAAAGAAACGCCCAAATGCTACTAAAAACTACCGCTGGAAAACCGCGGACTTGGCAACACCGTGAAGTTGCGCAGGCGCTGTGAGGGGAAACAGGGAAACTGAATTCGCCGGGCGATTTGGGGGTCCCGTAGACTAACGTTACCACTTACGCTAAAAACGTCTGTTGGTTTGTAGTGCTGTCATCAGCCATGTCTAAAAGCGGAAGACCCATGTCACTAAAAACCGTTTTATTTATTTATTTTTTCAAACTGCAACAGGTCTATATACAGTAGAAGGCTAATGACAGACTGCCAGCTGTGCTAACTGAGCAGCCCACTGCTTCACTAATAACCTTCATTTGAACGCATACGCTGCCATTTTGACACAAGACCCCACGTAACGTGATGCAGAAACACTGGAATTAAAATAATACTGTTAACACCGCGTAATCTCATTACAAAAAAGATTGTTGCCCTACCTGTTTGAAGATGTACGCGCATCAGGTGAACTACGCGAACTTCTTCTTCTTCTTCTTTCAGGTTTAATGGCGGTTGGCAACTCATCTCAAAGGTGCATTACCGCCACCTACTAGACTGGAGTGTGGGCATTAGACTGACATCAAAGGAGTGGAGAGAGAAGAGAAGAAAACAAAACCCTATTAAATTCTTTCACTTAACCCCGTGTTTTTCAAAAATAACATTAATAAATTGTGTATTCTCCCAGATGCTTTCCCTAATAAATGCTCAAGTGTCATGCTCTGTTCATCCATTTGTGCCTTTAATTCTGCCCTATCTTCTTCATATTTTGTCTTAACAGTATATGCTTCACTGTCTCTTGTACATTACAATAAGTGCATAATCCAGTGGGATGTTTTCCTATTCGGTGCAATGTTGTCTTTAAACCAGTGTGCCCCATTCTAAGACGTGAGACTAACATCTCCTCCCTTGGGCTTCTGCCCTTCCTCATGCTTGTGACTACTTGATTTTGTATACTGTATAAATGACGTCCTGTATCCGCTCTGTGTTCCAATATCCCTGCCATATTTTAAGTGAATGTTGCTTTATGATGGTTTTGACCTCTGCTCTACTTATTGGTACGTGTACATCTACTGTTTCATGCTTTGTAGAGTTTTTTAACTACGCGAACTGAGCCTCGCTGGTGGTCATTCTTCTCCTTCTTCTTCTTCTTTCCAGTTTAACGGCGGTTGGCATCCAGCTTATTGGTGCATTACCTCCCCCTTCTGCCCCGGAGTTTCTTCTTCTTGGCTTTTAACGGCGGCTGGCAACCAGCGTAATTAGGTGCATTACCGCCACCTTCTGCTTCCTCATATTTCTTACATTCAAGAATTGTATGGGTTACTGTTTCTTCTACTTTGCATTTTACGTTCACATTAGTCCATTTGGATGCTTCCCTAATATTTTGAGTGTACTTTTAAGATTAGAATGTCCCAACAATATTCTATTATAGACAACTATTATAGATCGATATTACAGACTCTTCTTTCCTTGTTTTACCAATATGTCTTATTTTTTTACTTACTTTGTTAATTAAATTGTAGAGAAATCTACCCTTTTCGTTGTTGTCCCACTTTATTTGCCATTCTGCAATAACCTTTTCCAGATTAAAACCTTAATTTCAGACTTGCTTAGAGGAACTTGTAATTCTATTTCTTCTCTCTGCAAAGCTTGTTTTGCTAACTTATCTACGTGCTCCTTTCCCTTTACACCTACGTGTGATGGAACCCAAATAAAACTGATTAAAATATCATTCTGAACCAATCTTGAATATATCTGTAAAATACTAAAAAGAATATCTTGATGACTGGATTTAAAAGACCTTAGACTCTTTAAAATGGAGAGTGAATCAGAACAAATTAAAACCTTTCCAGGTTTATAATCCTCTACCCACTGCAAGGACAAGAGTATTGCTATCATTTCAACAGTATATACTGCCAAATGATTGGATGTTCGCTTTATACTACTCATTGCCCAGTCAGGAACTAAAAAAGCAGCTCCAGTTGTCTCATGCTCTGGATCTTTTGAGCCATCTGTAAATATTTGTAAGTATTGAG